AACCTGGTTTTGCCTGTCTGCTGAAAGGGTTTACTGGGGCTTGGCTGCTGCTACAGCTTCCTGGAGCCACAGGTGAGAGTTGAGTGCAAAGTGGACACCAAAGGCAGGGGAGCAACCCTGAAAAGGGCTCATCAGCCTTTACCCTAGAGGTGCTAGTCCTTGAACACCCCATACAGCGGGGTGGCAGAGTGGATAGAATGGCAGACCTGGAGACAGGAAGACTCATCTTCCTGAGGTCAAGTCCAGCCTCTGACACTAGCTGTGTGACCCTGGGCAAGTCACCTTGCCCTGTTTGCCTCATCTGTAAAATGAGCTTGAGAAGCAAATGGCAAACAGCTCCAGTATCTTTGCCAAGAAAACCCCAAATGGCATCATGAAGAGCTGGACATGACTGAAATACCTGAACCACAACAATGTTCATTGAATCACATAATATTTAAACTCTTAAAGAAAAAGCTACCCAAATTATTGGGAGAAACAGATAATGTCAGGATGCCTATGCCAAGGACACCCTCTCTTTTCACTATTACAAGATACCCTGTCTTCCAGAGCGACGGCCCAGCGAGCAGGCTGTGCCCTGAGCTGGGCATAACAAAAATCCTTTGTGCGCACTCTCTGGATGCTCTCAGCCACAGCAAAATCCCAGAATTGTTTCACACCAGCACCAGGTGGTGTCTGAGTATGGATGCGTACCTGCAGGACCCGTGTTCTGGTCACGAAGTCCAGCCAGGAATCAAACTCGTCTCGTTGCTGCTGTTCCCCCTCATCGTCAGGGCTACAGGTCACCCTGCAACCATGGCTGCACGTATTCAGATTTGGCCTCACTAACCCAGATCTCCTTGGCATCAGAGCAGGTCTTGGCACGGATGTCTCGTTTCCCTCCTCCAGTGAAATAAAGAAAGCTTTTTGCTTAGGACCTCTGTTATATGTTGTTGTTGTTTCAGAGTCCACTGCATTTCTGATGACCTGTGTGAGCTCTTTGGTGTTTTTGGAGTTAACAGTGGTTGTAAAACCTCTCTGACTCTTTGGTCTTGTTTTCAGGGCTGACAATAATAAATCTATAATAGTGAAAGTCTTTAATATATTCCTCTCAAAGCTAGATAAATCTAATAAAAAAAGTAAAGAAGTTAAGGACCAGAAAATAAGTGTAGAAAAGTTAGATATGTCTTTGGTGATTATTGAATGGTAAAAGAAAGGGATACACACATATGTATGTATGTATGTATGTATGTATGTATACATATATAATATATATATAATATATATACATATACGTATGTTCTCAGTGTGCATGGCATCACAATAAATATGCAGAAAAGCAGTTATGTTGAACATATCCTTTACTAACCCAAATGCAATAAAATAATTATATTTAAGAAATGGTCGTGGAAGAAAGAATTCAAAATTAAGTTGAGACTAAATAAAAATCCTACAGAATGAATGAGTAGTAGAACAGAACCTAGAAGCAATGATTTATTTAAAGATAATGATTATGAGGGCAACATAAAAAATTTTTGGAATGTAGACAAGGAATCCTGAGGGAAAATGTATTTCTCTAAACACTTTCATTAACAAAAGAAAAAACCAATCAATGAAATGGGCATAAAAATTTGAAAAAAAAAACAACAGAAAACTAACAAACTAAAAAACCCAAATTAAACACCAAAATAGACATGCTCAAAAATCAAATAAGAGATTAATGAAGTTCAAAGCAAAACCAAAAACCCATTGAATAGTAAAGAAAACCTGTTTTTTAAAAAAAATAGATAAATCATTAGCTAATTTGATTTTAAAAAAAGAAAGTGGATTAGCAAACTACTAGTTTGAAAAATCAAACAGGAAATTTCACAACAAATGAAGAAGAAATAAAAGATATTAGTTTGCCCAATTATATGCCAATAAAACCATGAACTTAAATGAAATGAGTGAATATTTACAAAAATATAAAATACCCAGAAAAGAACCCAGGACAGAACACTCTAACATATTAAGAAATAAATAATTTAAACAACCTAATCTCCAAAAAAGCAAGTGAAAGAGCCGTATACCTGTGACTTCAGTCTTGTTCCAAGGTTACAGATGCATCAGATTAGCCCAGTTCTTTGTGGAAAAACACAAGATAACAGATTGCAGTTGTGGAAGTACCTCTTGTTATTTTACATTCCATAAAATGAAAAATGAGCCCATCCCATTCCCTCAGTGGGATCAGGTAACTTGTTCTGGAAACATGTCTGATGGGGTGGGCCCAAGCCAAGATCTTAGCCCCTTGACCCAAAGGGAATCTGACTCCCATTCATCTACAGGCCCCAGCTCCTCATTTCCCTTTGAAAGTCTTAGCCTACCTTTTGATCTTATTCAGAGGCACCTTTGCCCCATGCCCTAAAAAAGAATCTGGCTCCCATTTGTCTCCAGGCCGGGGGGGGGGGGACCCTTAAACCTTTAGGTTCCTTATGGAATCCCCTTATCTCCCTTTGAAAGCCCTTTTGACCTTATTCAGATGCCTTCCAGTTCCCTTTATTATCTATTCCCATTGCCTATTCAATCTCTCAGATCTTCCAATCTGAATTCTCACTTGGACTCTTTTCCCAGCCCCCTTCTCTGGCCACCCACAGTTACTTCAGTGTACAAAAAATCCACCCTGGCCCCCATTCAGAGGCTGAGCTTTTCTCATGCTGCTCATCCCCACAGGTGTTACTAATGTTCAGATTCCTTAAGAGTCTGGCCTGTATCTCTAATATGCTGAGAATCTCTCATGCCCTAAAGGCTGAGCTTTTCTCATGCCCCCTTGTCCTTATGGGCATCACCTGGCCTATGTGATTTATCACTAATAAACTTTTTCTCTGGCTGGAAGATTTGAGTTGAATTCATTCAGACAGGGCCTGGTGTTACAATCTGGGGGGTTCCCAGCAGGACCCCGAACCTCTAGACCTCTTCGATGTCTTTGAAATAAACTAAATCCAACTCTTCCTGATATCCAGCTGATGTTAAAATTGACCCTTATTGTGACTGGTTTAAAGGATTCTTGCTAATGCTGCAGGATGCTACCTAAAAATGTTGTAAAGAATGCTTTTCCCTTACGCTCATGATAGATGCTTCTGTAAGCGAATATCTACCAGGCTTGTTGAACAGAAGACATTTTTGCTTTATTTCTGGACTCTTGCTTACTTACTGACCTTATCCTCACAGTTAATGTAGATTGGTGAGTAATGTCCCTTGAGGGTCAACTTCAAATTGAATTCCACTCATCTTTTAGTGGTTACTGCTCTTTCTTAAGTACAGCTCCATGGGGAAGAGGGAGGAATGCTGTGAAAATAAAAGCAGATTGCCAAGTAGGCACAGAAGAGATGGATAAGGGGGGATGATTTCTGGAGGAACTTCATGGTCCCTGTGGAAGGAGTCAGCTGGTCTGGTTTGAGTGAGATGTCCCATGAGGTTCTGGGGAGTATCTCAATTCTAGGTATGTCGGTAAGGTTCATGGGCTTGAAGGAGAGCTAGTGGTGCCAGCTTTAGTGGCAGAAACATCACCTAAAAAGCATGAGGTGAACTTGGGCTAAGTTTTAGGTTCTGTTGCTTCTAAGGGAAGGAGGGCACCCAGGAGGCCAGGTGGACTCAGAGCTCATTGGGACAACTCTTTGGGAATTTCTTCTCTCTTTCTCTTAAGGCAGGATCCTGCCAAATTTCTTTCATGATGCAAATATGGTTTTGCTACCTAACCCAGGAAGAGTCAAAACAGAAAAAGAAAACTACAGACCAACATCCATAAGCAAGGATGAAAAATTTTTAAATAACATATTAGCAAAGAGGTTATGCAACATGTCGCAAAGATCATCCACTATGACCAGGTGGGATTTACACCAGGAATTCAGGGTTGGTTTAATATTAGGAAAATTATAGGTATACCAGACCATATTAATTAACAACAAAGCCATAGGATTATATCAATAGATTCAGAAAAGCTTTTGACAAAATAGTACACCTATTTCTGATAAATACTAACAAAGAGATTTCTTCTTAATACTATGTAAACTCAGGCACGCTCTCTAAGGAATCTCGAACTCTCTTTCCCCCAAAGGGAGAAGCTATCAGAAGCCAGTCCTACAAGATCCAAATCCCTCTTTTCCCTAAAGGGGAAGAAAACCAGAGGAAGATGATGCCTGTGAAATTAAAGATCTTCATTAGGCAGGGAAATATGTGCCTGGGAGCAGACAGCCTAATGCTGAAGCAGCTAGAGCCAAGCAGAGGATGAGGAGGGCATGCATACTTTTCAGACAAAGGAGGCAGGAGAGGAGAAAGATAAGGAATCAGGCTGGTCCCAAGGAAGGGCAGGGCAGAGAGTGCCTAGTCTGATGGCTAGGGGGGAGCCAGGAAGCAGGGCAGTGAGGAGTTGCAGGGGTCAGAGCCTCTTGATACACAAGCAGTCCCAACAGTGGGAGGCTCGGGCACAAACGAGATGAGGGGGCGGCTCCAGAGCCCCAGGAACCACTGATGGGGCAGTCTGAAGATAAGGATGCCCCCAGGATCCAAGCTAAGGTGCGCAGCACAGCTGGGTGCACTCTGGGTCACTGCAAAGGATTGTTGGTATGTCAAGCTCTTAGTTCTCCTACAGCTCTTCTCGGTGACCTGGACAATCGGGGCGCTCAAGCAAACCCAGCTACCCAACCATAAGAAGTACAGATCAGACACCCTCAACCTATGCGTGGCAGCCAGACTGCCGGACACGCGCAGCTGGGCCACAACTACGGGCTTCCTGCCCATGCTAGGCACCCTGATATACACAAAAAAGCCTGAATGCCGGGAGCGAGAAGGGGAAAGACCCCGCCCCGCCCTGCCCTCCACTTTACACAGGCTACACTGGGGGACTCTAGTGGGGTCGGGCCACAGGAGACCGCGGAGCCTTCTGGGAAACGGAGTTCATCGTTGGTATGGGGATGGGGGGGGAAGGCTGAACTTCTTGTGCTGGGCTTTGTCACGGCACGCGCATGCGCAGCGCTCACCTAGGCTCCACTTCCCAGAGCCCTCCCGCTTCCCCTGCCTGCGCTTGGAGGCGCCCCTCTCCCCCACCCGCGCGCCACAGAAGGACTCTGGGAGTTGTAGTTCGCAGGTTGATGTCGGAGTGCTCAGATTGGCCTCCGCGGCTGGGGCCCTTTGTTCGCCGGAGGCTGAGGTCGGGTGAGTGAGGGCGGTCTAGAGGGGGGCGGGGCGGAGCCAGGGCCAAGCTGGGAGCCGTAGTCGGGGGGGGGGGAGCGAGGAGGGGGAGCAAGGTGGGGCGCGACCACGTGGGGGGCGTGGGGCGGGGTGGGGGAGGGCCTGGGGCTGCGCAGTCCGTGGGGGGTAGTCTCTGGGGGCGGGGCGCGGGGGTGTCAGGATCGAAGACTCGGAGGCGGAGGCGGAAGCTGTTTTTGGGCCTGTCTGGTCTTCGCTACCCATTTTGCAGGTGAGAACACTGAGGCTGGGAGAGGGCCAGGCGGAGAGCACAGAGGTGGGCTCTCAGGGGGCGGGGGAGGAAAAGGGAGAGCGCTAGCCTGGGGGTGGGGGTGTCCCCCAGGCCCCCTGGAGCACTGCATCATAGTCTGCTGGCTCCTCATCCTCCCTGCCCAGCCCTGCATCTCCTCGGCCCCCCTCCAGCCGGGCCGTGCGCGGCCCCCAGAGGCCCAGACTGGCTGGGGGGAGGCGAGCCGGGAGTGGCCTTCAAGGCTTTGCCCTCAGCTCTGCTTGGGTTCCTGTGGTTGATACAATGTATCAGTCTGTGTGGCCATTGTAACTCCAAGCAGCCGGGCCCCCAGGAGCCAGGCCAAGGTCATTCAAAGCCTGTGCTTCCAACTCTCCCCCCTGGCCCCCGGCTCTCTGAGTCACCTGAGCTGAGCCTTACAGTGCCCACCCCGGCTGCAGGAGCACCCCGCCCCCCCAGGCTGAGGGTGGCACAGGATGCTTGGGAGCTGGGATACCCCAGGAGAAGACATAGCTTCCCCGAGAACCCTCGCTGGGCCCGACGAATGGGAAGGGCAAAGGCTGGAACCCTGCTTCGAGCCCACATTCCCTTGGGCAAGGAGGGCACTTGGGAAGAATGAGGGAAACTGGGCCAGCGGTCCCTCTGCCCCCGCCAGCCAGTGCCGTGTGTCTGAAAGAAGGGACCCCTCTCCAGAGCCAGCCCCACCCAGCCTGAGCACAGGTCCCTAGCTGGGCTTCTGCCTTTGAGGCTTTGACTTGGTTTACCCTCCACACACACACACACACACACACACACACACACACACACACACACACACACACACACACACACACACACACACACACGAAAGCAAAACAAAAGCAGCAAACCCAAGTTGGTCTGAGAACCATCAGAGTAGCTCTAGGGATGAGCCTGGGCTCATGTCCCACTTGGGAAACTGTGTTGGTGGCCTTGTGTAAGTCATTTAACTTCTCTGGGTCCTGCTCTGTAACAGGAGGTGTTGGACTCAAAGGCCTCTGAGGCCCTTGCAGGCCTAGACCTGGGTTCCCTTGATCCCATGATCCATCTCTCTCTCTCCTCCCTCCCTCCCCCTGGGGAGTGCCTCCTCCCTCCCTTCCTTCCTCAGTGCCCCCTCAGTCTTTGTTGCTGGGTCATCTGACCAGGGCTGCTCTTCTTGCTTGGTTAGCACAGTACATAGTAGGTGCTTAATAAATGTTCCTTGACTGATAATCGAGTGATTTCCTCCCATACTGTGTAGCAGCCCCTCCCGTCTCCGGCTCCAGCCTGCAGCAGCCTCAGAGGGTTCCCTTCCCTCCCCCAGCATGTGTGTGGAGGCCGCCAGAACATCCCCCCTGTCCGTGGTTTCTGCCTCCTGCTGGTTAGACCTTGATGTACAACTGTCACACCACCCGAAATGTGCTGAGCGCCTTACAAATATTATCTCATTTGGTCCTCACACAACCTTGGGAAATGTGTACTATTATTGTTTCCATTTTACAGTCGAGGAAACTAAGGCAGGCAGAGATTAAGTGCCTTGTTCAGGGTCACACAAGTAGGCCCTCAAGCCCAGTGCTCTATCCTTTGTTCCACCTGGTAGCCTGTAAATAGAATTAGAAAAAACCTTTCCATTAAATGTCACAGAGCCTGAATCCAACCTGTGTATTACCTATTTCTTGTTTTTTTAATTTAATTTTTTTTATTTTTAGGCAATTGGGGTTAAGTGACTTGCCCAGGGTCACACAGCTAGTAAGTGTCAAATGTTTGGTCTGAACCTGGAGTTGAACTCTGGTCCTCCTGATTTCAGGGCCGGTGCTGTATCCACTGTGCCACATAGCTGCCCCAGTGTTACCTATTTCTGAGACTGGAGCTTTGTCCTTGGGTCTCCAGACAATGACTTTGGCCCTACTCTTTGATCTTGAGTGGCCTGACTCTCCCGGCCTCCCTGTGATGGGGGGCCAGAATCTGTCACCGTGTTTGTGTGCATGAATTTCTGCCTGGGGAGTTGGGGATCTAGGCGGTAGCCCTGGTCTGGCTTGGGGTAGCCCCGGCCTCCAGCCCGGGCCTGGCTCGGGGTAGCCCCAGCCTCTAGCCCTGGCCTGGCTCCTCAGCCCTTTTCCTTCCCACAGCTATTTCTCCTCAAGACTGCCCCCTCCCCAAGAGCAAGCATGGAGGAGGAGCAGAGAAGATGTTCTAGGCACCTGCCGCCCAGGATCCAGGTGAGTTGGCCAACCACCCCTTGTCTGTTTGGTCTGAAGTCTCCTTTCACCCATCATCCTTCACACTGTGTTCTGCTCATCTGTGGCCCATAAACCAGGATGATCTCTGGTCCTGAAGGGCTGAGATAGTTTAGTTTTTGGCCAGAGACTCTTAGCACACAGTTCCCTGTATGCAGTTGTTCAGCTGTGTCTGACTCTCCAGGACCCCCATTTGAGGTTTTTGGTAGAGATCCTGGAGTGGTTTGCCATTTCTTTCTCCAGTTCATTTTACAGATGAGGAAACTGAGGCAAACAGGGTAAAATGACTTGCCTAGGGTCACACAGCTACTAAGTGCTAGAGGCCAGATTTGAATTCATGTCCTCCTGACTCCAGGGTCGGAGCTCCATTCACTGCACCACCTAGCTACTCAGTACTACCTAACCTGCTTGTGGGTCATGAGTGCTTAATATTAAGTTACGTCTGAAATGTGGAGAGTTCCAGTGTGGAGATCTCGGATCTGAGTGTGCGCTCTCCTTTGGTGACTCAGTGGGATTTCCAGTGTACATTGCATGCAGTAAGGAAGGGAGGCTGCTAGGCGGCCAGCCAGCCAGTCTCCACCAGATGTAGGCCTCGCAGCTCTCCCTGAGGTGCGCACCCACTTGCTCTCTTCCCTGAGTTTCAGGAGTCGGTGACATTCAAGGACGTGGCTGTGAACTTCACCCAGGAGGAATGGCAGGAGCTGGACACTGCTCAGAGGGATCTCTACTGGGATGTCATGCTGGAGAACTATGAGAACCTTGTCTTCCTCGGTAACGGTGGCCCCGGCTTTGCAGCTCAGTCCCTAGGCTCTGTCCTCTATGTTCTTGGGGCCTCTGAAGGGCTTCCCTGAGGGGTTATCCTTACAGATTCACAGAGTGAGGCAGTATCCCCCCACCCTTCAGGGCCAGAAGACAGTGTTTCTGCTTTCTGACAGTCTTTATTTTGTCCTGTGAAAACAGGTGGCTGCATTGTTCTGGCCCTGGGCTGTATCTGCCTTACCTTATTCACTTTTGGGAGGAGGTGACTGACTTTTCTCCCCACATCACAGATTTGCGTCTAGGGTCCCCAAAGCTCCCATCTTCTTAGTACAGACTCTTCCTTGGAGCCCAGATCCACATGGGGCTTGTCCCCTAGGCCCAGCTTACAGGGGCCTAGAGAGCCCCCATGTATGACTCTGGGGATGAAAGCTTTTTCCTTTTCAGAGTAAGTCAGTGCACTCCAGGGATGGGTCACTGCATGTGTGACTGGACTCTGTTGTGGCATCTGGTTGATTTTCTTAGCTTCCCTCCCTCAGAGTGCTGTGTTGGGAAAGGGCTTGGGGAGGATATGGAAATGACTGAAATTTTAAAAAATCAACGAAACGCTTAAAATCCAAGAGCCGAGGTTGTGGGCTTCCCCCAGATTGTGCCGTGACCCTTGCCCGCCGAGATGGGCCAGCTGTGTCTAGATCTGGAATGAGGAGTTGCCAAGGGCAGGGGGTGTGGGAGCATCAGGTCCAGAAGAACAAGTTAGTGAAAGTCCAGAGACTGTCGGGGGGTGAGAAGGCAGCCGTTGCTCCTGGGACCTGGCCTGCTGTGATCAAGACCTGGGATGTGCTTGGGAGAGCGGCAGAGGGATGGGAGGAGGGCAGGCTTCCTCTGACACCTGCCTGCTCCTGGCCTGGTGCTGTTCCACATCTGCTGGGACCCTGTCTGGTGGGCTTCTCGGCAGAGGTTTGGGTCAGCGTAGGGTTCAGCTGAGCTCGGAACCCCAGGTTTAGAGCAGCCAGGCTCGAAGGTCGCCAGCACTGTCCGTTTCCATCCCATCAGCAGGGCTGCCAATTTCCAAACCGGATGTGCTCTGTCATTTGGAGAGGGGAGTGGCCCCCTGGATGCTGGAGGGAGATTTCCCAGGAGATGTCTTCCCAGGTGAGTGAGGGAGGTTGTCAGGTGGCCAATGAGCCTTCAGAAATGGTCAGTGGGCAGATGGCACCGCAGGCTGGAGGCCAGCAGGTGAAATTGGGAGCTTTCTAATAAAATCCATTTATTTAGGCATTTATTTAAAAAATTTCAGTTTTAAAAACATCATTAATGTTATTAATGAGATTATTCAACATAACAGCTGTATTAACAGAATAATATTAACACTGCATGTTATAGAATAATAACATTAAAATAATATAATTACTATAGTAATTTTATAAATATTAAATAGAAACTTGTTAGTTATTTGTGATTATAATCACCTCGCGACCCCTATGTGAAGGGGGAAAAATCAGAAAAGTAAAAGCCAGCCCCTTCTGAAAGCATATATCCCCCTGGCAGACCCCAGGGCCAGGCATCACAAGGATATGGGTTTGATGTCTTTGATTTACATTGTTGTATTCTGTTGGCTTTAGCTTGTGGTGGTTACCCAAGTCTTCCCAAAAGTCCTCATGTTCATCCAATAATATTCCATTTATCTCATGTACTACCATGTCTTTAGCCATTCCACAGTTGATGGGCACCCACTTTGCTGCCACCCAAAAAATGCTGCTGTGAATATTTTTGGTGTTTGTGGAACGGGCCATTGTGTCCTTGACCTCTGTGGGGTATGTGTCTGAGCAGCATCCTCAGGGTCAGCAGATTAGCCTGGCACTTCTTCACCCAATCAGAGAGCATTTAAGGACTTCCTATAGCCAGGCACCCCCCAGGAGCTCCCATTCTGATGGGAAGATGACATCACCATGTACCTGCCAGATATGGGATCTGAGTCTGGAAGGAGGCCAGGGCTGACCAGTGGTGCAGGTGAGGAGGGAAACATTCCAGGCATGAGGGACAGCCAGTCCAAAGGCCCTGAGGTGGGAGATGGAGTGTGGTGTGAGGCTAGGGAGTGGATGCTAGAGTATGTGGAGGGGAGTAAAGTATAAGCAGGATGGAAAGGGAGAAGGAGCCAGGTTGTGGATATCTGTTCTGTTTGGGGTGTCCTAGGGAGAAAAGGGGAGTGACCTGGTCATTGCTGTGCTGCAACCCAGTGGTGCAGAGAGAGACTTGAATCCCCAACCAAAAGGTGATTGCAAGAGTCCAGGCTGAGGTCATGGTGCCTCTAGGAGTGGCAAGAAGAGGTCCTGGAGGAGACAAAGATGAAGGTAGAAATGGTGGGCATTGGCCCTGGCCCGGCTAAGGCAGGGGAGGGAGCAGAAGGGGTGGCGGGAGACCCCCAAGGTGGGGGTCTCCGTGACTGGGAGCTTGGTGGTGCCGTGACAAGCACCTGGACAGCTCAGAAGAGGAGATGGTTGTAGGGGGAAGATAGAGAGCTGAGCTTTGGCCATTCTAGGATCAGAGATGCTCACGGTATAGCTAGCTTGCAGTGTCCAGTGGACAGTTGGGGAGGCAGACTAGGCTGGGCACATCGATCTGGGGAAATTCTTCATAGCGATGGTGACAGAACCCATGGGAGCTGATGAGAGCCCTGATGAGGGAGCGTCTCCAGAAAAGAATGGGGCCAGAACAGCCTCTGGGCTCTGGTGGAATTCCAGACTGTTGAGGGAGGAGTCCACAAAGAGGGCTGGGCATGTTCCTTCCTTGTCACGCACTGCCCCCTCTCTTCTCATCTCCACGTTGGGCAGCATTGGGCCAGACCTGGAGCTCTTTGGATTTTCACTCCTGTGAAAATCTTTGATCGGAGCCATTGTTTGTGTGGTTTCTAATGGTTTGCATTCTTTTGAGATCTGTCTGGTCACGTCCTTGACCTCTTTCATATCCATTGAGGAAGGCTCTTGGTCTCGTGTATCTGTGGTACTTCCTTATCGGTGATGATAGTAATAACACCTAATGTTCACATAGCGTGTACTGTAATTAGGTATCAGGCCCTTATCAGAGCTGTTTCATACCGCTTTGGTTTCATTTTGGCAAAAGCTTTTCAATTTCACGTAATTGAAATTGCCTGTGTTGTCTTACTCACTTGAATATCTAGTGTATGTTATTGTTACAGATCTTTGGAACTTGTCATCTAGTTGTAAAAGAAACAAAGCCTTTTAAATGGACAGAGAGGAAAAAAAAACCTCTCCCTCTTGTCTGGTTAAGAATTCACTCCCTCAGGGGCAGCTAGTTGGTGTAGTGGATAGAGCACCAGCCCTGAAGTCAGGAAGACCTGAGTTCAAATCTGCCCTCGGACCAAACACTTGACACTCACTAGCTGTGTGACCCTGGGCAAGTCACTTAACCTCAATTGCCTAAAAAAAAAAAAAAGAATTCACTCCCTTAGGGGCAGCTAGGTGGTGCAGTGGATACAGGACCAGCCCTCGAGTTGTCCTCAGACACATGATGCTTACCAGTTGTGTGACTCTGGGCAAGTCACTTAACCCCATTGCCTAGCCAAAAAAAAAAGAATTCACTCCCTCACCATAATCATGAGAGCTGCCAGCAAACAAGGTCATTTCTGTCATGAGAACTTCTAAAGGGTGTTATGGACTTGTGATGTAAGGACAGTAGAAGAGAGTTGTTAAGAGGGACCCTCACGAGGCCTGCCGCCCTTCCAAGCCTTCTCTGTCTCGCATCACAAGGCGGGGCTTCTTCCTGCCGAGCACGAGTGGCCCCATTCCAGCTTATTCTTCTCTTTAGTGCATGGCCCCCTGTGTCCCCCCACCTCACTCATCTTCAGTCTCGGTCTTCCCGACTCCTTCCTTACTGCCTGTAAACGCATCCATGTCTCCCCCATCCTCGGACTCTCATCACTGAACCATCTGTCTTTACCGACTGTTCCATGTCTCTTCCCCTTTGTGGCGTTATTTCTGATTATTTAATTCTTCATTTAGTTCTGCAAAAATCCTTGGTGAATGTTTGAGGGTCACACACTTCCCAGTAAGAGCCAAGAGTAGCATTTCTTTAGGACTTGGTTAGCCTGAGATCTAGAAATACTGGAATTTTTCTTATTTCTCTCGCACTCTTCTGTCATCAAAGCTATTTCTGGGTCCCCCAGACTGGTGATTTCCTTAGTGTGGGCCCTACACTATAGGGCATTCCTGGTGAGGACAGTAGCCTGCCCAGGGCTCACCTCCTGGTCAGCTCTTAGGGGTCCTGAGCTAAGAGCATGTCTGGGTGGGTCTTGAGAAGGGTGCATTCAAGAGATGTGGAGAGAGAAGCACCAGGGCAGATGTGAGGAGGGGGAGTGAGCCATCGAGGAAGACGTCAGGGTTGTGAACCTGGATCACTGGAAGGATGGTAGACGCCTTCCTGGAGATAGCGGCGAGGGGAGGGTTGGAGGTGAGGTGCCTGAGAGACAGCCAGGTCAGCATGTAGATCAGAATTGATCTACTTTGTCTTTTATGTTCATCTCTATCCCTTGTTTGGTCAAGACTTTTTAACCAAACTAATATTATGAAAGGAACCTCCTTCCTTTATCCTGTACTTTTTTCTTATGACTGAATGAATGAATGAAAAAACATTTCTTGAGTTTACTGTGTGCCAGGCATTGGTTTATGGGATTCAGATAGTTTTAAAAAATGGGTATTCAGATATTAAAAAAAGAGAGAGTCCCTGCCCACAAGGAGCTTAAATTCTAATGGGGAGAGTTAGTACACATAGAGAAATGGTGACCAGTAAAGGAAGTTTTGTTTTGGGGGAGTGTAACAAGGTTTGGCCTTGTGTTGGGGTTGAGGAAGACTGAAGAACACACGGTCAGGCAGATATTAAGATGGACTGAGGAGGCAGTGGGATGGAGTAGGAAGCTGGAACATGCTCAGATGTACAAGACCAGCCAGTAGGTATCGAAGGTTAACTTGGCTAGTCTGTACACAGTCAGTCAGCTGTGGGAGGCCCTGGTTGGAGAGTTCCAAAGGTGGGTGGATGAATGGATTGTGGGAACACCTAGCTGCGGAGGTCCAGGTCTCAGATCTGTTGTGAAGGTACTGATCCACGTAGGGAGGAGTAGTTCAACCGTGAATGGCTGGGGAACGAAACCATGGATTGACTCCCCATCACCATTTTCATCTTATTTGAGTGTTTAGTATAAGATGGTGATCTAAAAATACTTTCTGCCAAGCTGCTTCCTAGTTTTCCTAGCAGTCTTTATGAAATAGCGGGTCTTCCAGTCAGAAATTTTGTTCTTAGAATTATTCACTGGGCTGCTGTTTCTGGTTCATTCTGGTTTTGTTGATCTGCTTCTCTGGTTTTCAGTCAGTTCCACATGGTTTGAATGCCTACCACTTTGTAGTATAGTTTGAAGTCTGGAGTAAGTTTGAGGTCCATTTCTTTTGTACTTTTTTCATTCTTTCTCATGAGATTTTAGATCTTTGTTTTGCCAAGTGAATTCTGTCATTCTTTTGTTCAGTTCCATAAAGTATCCCCATGGTTATTTGTAGGGCACCAAATCTCTCACTTCATTTATGTAGTAACTCACTCTAATTGAGTTGGGTTTATAGCAAGGATGGCAGGAGGGCTCAACATTAAGAACATACATGAACTAATTAAATGTGTACACAGTAAAATCACATTATAATATCAGGAGATGCAGAAAGAAACTTTTGCTAAAATATAACATTCATTTATATGAAATATTCTGAATAGCAAGACCTGAAGGTGTCTTTGTTGTTCATTCATTCACTTCGGTCATGTTCAAATCTCTGTGACCTCATCTGGGGGTTTTCTTGGCAAAGATACTGGAGTGGTTTGCCATTTTCTTCTCCAGCTCATTTTACGGATGAGGAAACTGAGGCAAACAGGTTTCAGTGATTTGCCCAGGGTCACACAGCTAGTAAGCATCTGAGGCCAGATTTGAACTGTACAGTGATGTGTAAATCACTCAACCCTGTTTGCCTCAGTTCTTCATCTGTAAAATGAGCTGGAGAAGGAAACGGCAAACCGCTTCAATATCTTTGTCAAGAAAACTCCCAGATGAAGTCACGAAGAGTCAGACATGACTCAGTAACTTCCTGACTCTGGGCCCAGCACTCTATCTATTGTGGCACATCATTACTTGCAATTAAAAAACCCTGGAGACTTTCCCCATACAAGCAAGGGTAAAGCAAGAATTCTCTCTCTCTCCTTCTCTCTCTCTCTGTCTCTCTGTCTCTCTCTGTCTCTTTCTGTCTGTCTCTCTGTCTCTGTCTCTGTCTCTCTCTCTGTCTCTCTCTGTCTCTCTCTCCCTCTCTCTCTCTCTCCCTCTCTCTCTCTCTCTCTCTCTCTCTCTCTCTCTCTCTCTCTCTGTCTCTCTGTCTCTGTCTGTGTCTCTCTCCCTCTCCCTCTCTCCTCCCTTGTCATCCTCCACCCCTCTCCCCACTGTTATTTGATGTGGTTCTATAAATGTTAACTGTGTCACTAAGACGAGAAAGCAGAATTAATTAAAGACGTAATCATCGTCAGAGGAGAACAAGTTTCCCTGTGGGTAGGCAACATGATGCTATACCTAGAAAATTCCAGGGAATCTGTGGAGAAATGGATTAGGGTGATTAATAGCTTCAGTAAAGTAATGAGATATAAAATAAGTCCAGGGAAACCATCAGCATTTCTACAGAGTACTTAAGAAAACCCGGTGGAAGAGATTGGAGAAATTCCATTCTAAGACTTAACTTACCATGAGAAAAAAAAAATTGATCCAAGTGTAGCTACCCAACATTTTTAATAGAATTAAAGGAAGACAAATAATTACCAAGAGATTCAGTGCTTTCCCAAATTGTGTCGTGTGTCCTGAGCAGCTGTGTGACCTTGAGCAAGTCACTTATGTGCTCTCAGGTCACCTTTTACATCCGTAAAATGAAAAGACAATCTCCAAGAGCCTTTCAAACTGTGACCCTGTTCTGAGATGGCATGCCTCACATTGCTCAGACTTTAAACTGTATTTCTTTCATTTTCTTGTTCAAATGCCCTTGATTAGGAATTAGAAGATTCTTTCCAGAGGCCCAAGTTAGGCATAGCTAACATGCATAAGAGGAAATTTACCAGAATGCCGTTAGCAGATACATCATATCTCTTTCTCCTTGAATACAGTCATCTTTTTAAAAATCAGACATTTTATTTTCAGTTCTGAACTCTCCCTCCCTTCTTTTGACCTCTAGTCATTGAGAAGATAAGAAAAACAAAACCCATTACAAATGGTATAGTCATGCAAATTTATACACTTACCACATTTACCTCATGTTTTAGAATTTTAAAAAGCAGTCTTTTCCCAAGTGCTCTGCCAATAATTTTCTGCTTATATTAGTCAACTTCCTTCTTCCTAAAGTAAGATGAGATAAGCTTGTCTGACTAGTTTTCTAGGTTTGTCATCGTACTTGATGGAGGAAACAAAAACCTAAGGCCTATTTTGAAGCCATATCCTTTTTCCCAGTTCAGAGGACCGTGCATATTGACACTTGTTTGTTTCTTTCAGATTCACTTAGTTTGGAGATTAGGTGTGAAACCAAGGACTCAGCAGCAAATCAGGGTGATTGTACAGGGGTGTCCTCTAAGAAGAAATTCACAAAGGATGGTCCTTGGGATTTCAAGATAGAAGAAGCTTGGGAATTTGATGTCAGGTTAGAGAAACAGAAGGACCTGGGGGAGAAACCATCCAGACAAGTGGCAGCTTCTGACAGAGAATCTTCTAAGGTGAATGCCCAGGAATGTAAAATATTTGGGGAAAGTTTCAATCTGGGCTCATTCTTTGTACCACAAGAAGTACTTCCTACAGAAATGAATCAAGGTAAGCTCTTCACACAGTTTTCAGACCTGAGGAATCATAATGTAACATCCTTAGGGAAGAACTTTTCTAAGCACAATAAATGCAGAAAGCCCTTCACTTACCATCCAGATCTTATTGAATTCTATACAGTACACCCTGGAGACCAATCATATGTATGTAAAGAATGTGGGAAAACCTTCAGCCACAGGGGAAACCTTAACAAACATCAGAGAGTTCATACTGGAGAGAAACCTTTTGAGTGTATTGAATGTGGAGATACCTTTAGCCAGAGGAGAAACCTGAATGCACATCAGAGAATTCATACTGGAGAGAAACCACATGAATGTAATGAATGTGGGAAAGCCTTCACCCAAAGATCACATCTTACTCAACATCAGAGAAAGCATAATGGAAAGAAACCCTATAAATGCAGTGAATGTGGGAAAGCCTTCAACCACAAGGGAAACCTTAATAGACATCAGAGCATTCATACTGGAGAGAAGCCCTTTGAATGTAATGACTGTGGGAAAGCCTTCACCCAGAGAAGAGACCTCAATGCACATCAAAGAATCCACACTGGAGAAAAACCCTTTGAATGCACTGAATGTGGGAAAGCCTTCAACCTCCGGGGGAGCCTTAATCAGCACCAGAGAATCCACACAGGAGAGAAACCCTTTGAATGTAGTGAATGTGGGAAGGCCTTCAGACAGAGGGGATATCTTATTTATCATAAGAGAATTCATACTGGAGAGAAACCATTTAAATGCAATGAATGTGGGAAAGCCTTCAGACAGAGGGGCAATCTTAGTGAACACAAGAGAATCCACACGGGAGAGAAACCCTTTGAATGTAATCTTTGTGGGAAAGCCTTCCGAAATGCCTTATGCCTTACTCAACATCACAGAAGTCATACTGGAGAGAAACCCTTTGCTTGCAATGAATGTGGGAAAGCCTTCAACCATAGGAGAAACCTTAATAGACATCAGAGCATTCATACTGGAGAGAAAACTTTCGAATGCAATGAATGTGGGAAAGCTTTCAGCCAGAGAGGAGACCTCAATGCACATCAGAGAATTCATACTGGAGTGAAACCCTTTGCATGTAATGACTGTGGAAAAACCTTCAACCACAGGGGAAACCTTAATGTGCACCAGAGAATTCATACTGGAGAAAAGCCCTTCGAATGTAATGAATGTGGGAAAGCTTTCAGCCAAAGAGGAAGCCGTAACCAACACCAGATAATTCACACCAGAGAGAAACTCTTTTGAGTGCAGTGAATGTGGAAAAGCTTTCATATGTATGAACACGTTAATGAACATCAGAGAATTCGTCATGGAGAAAACATTCAAGTAATGAGTTGGAAGAAAGCTTCGTTTGAAGCCTTAGGAAACATCAGATAATTCATATGAATAAACAGCTTTATGAATGTAATGATCTTTGGAAACACTAGAGGATACTCTATCCCTCATCAAACATCAGAGATATCAGAATGTGAAGCAGCAGTGGGGACGTCATAATGTGGCTTCTACTTCCTAAAGAGCTGTTGCTCTCTGTTTTCTCTCTTGTGATTTCAGTCTCGGGACCATTTTTATCTCAGTAGGTATTTGGTAAGATGCCTCTATTTTCATTTTTGTAAATAATTTATGTAATATGGAGTCTAATTGTTCTTTAAATATTTGATAGAATTCACTTGTATGTGTATCTGGTGTTGTTCCTGTTCCTCCTCACCCCCACCTTGGGAGTTCGTTTATGGTTTATTCAAAGTCTGCGTCTTAGATCAATCTTTTTTTAGGCTCTCGACATCTTGTTCTGTTAATCTGGGTATTTTATATTTTTGTAAGTATTAATTTCATATAAGTTTTCAAGTTTTTGTCATGTAAATGGATGTAATAGTTTCTGAAAATGCATTTTATTTGTTGTGAATTCCTCCTGATCATTTAAAAAATTTTGTGATGTGGTTTTTCTCTTTTTCTTATCAGTTTAGCTAATGGTTTTCTGTTTCACTCATCTTTTTTTAAAATTTGCTGTATTATTTATTATCTCAATAGTTATTTTTGTTTGCAGTTTTGTTTATTCTTCTGTTTTCAGAATTTCTGTTTTTGTGTTCATATAAGGATTTTTACTTTATAGTTTTCTTAAAGTACAGGTCTAACTGAGTCACTTTCCTAATCAGTGAGCCCCAGGGGCTTTCTGTTGCCTCTGGGATCAGATCTAAGCTCCTCTGGCCTGCCTTCCCAGCCTGTGTGTCCATCCCCTTCTGGGCTGACCAGGCCAGCTTGGTTCCCTGCTCACCACTCTTCTCCTCCCTTTTTTGTGCCTTTCCCCCCTTCCCAGAAGGTGCTTCTACTTTGCCCTTGCCTCTGCCTTGTGGGAGACTTTACTTCCTTCAAAACTGCTCCAGACATGTCTCTACTTGAAGCCTTTCCTGATCCTCTCAGTACCTGAGGCTCTCTGGCTCTCTCATGTACTCTGTTTATTTTGTATACACTTATTTATATAATTGGTGTCTCCCCCAATAGAACGTAAGCTCCTTGAGGGCAGGGATGGTTTCATTCTTGTCTTTGAGTTCTCAGTGCTAGCATAGTGCCCGGCACTTGGGAGGCAGTCTCTAAAGACTATTGATTGATGAAATGTTTTCCTAGTTTAATTGCACGCTCAATTCATTTAATCTCGTTTTCTTTCTTGCTTGCTGATGTAGGTATTTCTTTATCTATACGTATATTTATAGCTGTTCCCCCCAAGGACCATCTTGGCTTCATCCCATAAGGTTTAGTATATTATGTTTTTTCATCATTTTCTTTGGTATAATTACTTTTCATATCATTTGTTTTTGACCCACTGATTTGTTAGCATTATATTATTGAAGTCAGAATACTTTCTTTAGATTTCCCTTATTAATTACAATTTTATTGAATTGTAGTCTGTAACAGATTTTTTTTAAGTCCACAAGTCCACCTTTTAAATTTTGTTTATGAGTTCTTTATGCCACTGTGTGTGAAGTTTTGTAAGACTGAAAAAAAATGTGTATTCTTTTTGATTCCCATTCAGTAGTCATCAATGGTCTGTCATGCCTAATTTTTTAATATTCTCTTCAGATCCTTAACTTTCTTTGTTTTGTAGCTTTCCCTCTGTCTTTGAGTCCTCAAAGATTACTGTTTTTCTGCCTAGCTCTCTGTATTTTAGCTAGCTTTTCCCTCTAAGACTTTAAATGCTATGCTGTTAAGTACATATATAGTTAATATTGACATTGTATCATGATCCGTGGTACCGCTGTGCATAATGTTTTCCCAGTTATCTCTTAACTGTATCTGTTTTTATTGTTGCTTTTATATTTGATCACAGTTGCTACTTCTAGTTTATTTTTTAATTCTGCTGAGACGTTGTTTATGCCCACTCATTTTAACTCTATGTGAACCTTTACATTTTAGGTGTTTCTCATAAACAACAACTTTTTGGATTTTCCTTTCTTGTTAAGTTTGCCACCCTCATCAGTTTATAGGTGACTTGTTTCTCTCATGAATAATGATACAGAAATGTTAAATAAAGTATAACCAAAGAGGCTACTGTAATATATTCCATTAATACCAAAAACAATAAAAATCAAATGACAAGGTCTATAGATACATAAAAAGCCTTTGACAGGAAACCAGCCCATTTGTATTACAAAACACTAAAATAAAAAGCATCAGAATAAATAGACCTTTACTTAATATGATAAATAGCATATCTAAAACCAAGAGCTAGCATTATTTATAGTGGCAAAATAATAGAAGCCTTTCCAGTAAGATCAGGAGCAAGACGAGGACATTCATCGTCACCACTATTATATCATTCTCAAAGTGCTAGTTGTGGCGTCAGAATAAGCATACCAGAGTGAGCAAAATTATCTCCATTCATGGAGGTTGTAATGATTTTCCTAAGAGAATCCCAGCTCCTCACTGAAAAATTAATTGAAACAATAACTTCAGTAAGTCAGAAGTATATAAAATAAACCTTAAAAACTCAGTATCTTCTTAGCAAATCCCAGGAGGAGATAGTAAAAGAAACTTCATTCAGGATAAGTACAAAATGTCACAAATTTCTGGGAGACAGCCCACTAAGACATACTCAGGTCTTAGACAGATACAACTGTAAATGTTTTTTACAGAAATAAAGACATGAATATAGAGAGCCACTTTCATGGTCGGGTCATGCTGTAAATTGGTCATTCCATTCTAGAGAACAAAATGGAATTGTACTAGAAAAGTCTATTCTGTGCCTACCATTGGACACAATGAGAACAGTACTGGATGTATGTTCTGAGAAAGTCAAAGAGAGAAGAAACAAAGCAAAAACTCAAATACAGAAATATTGAGATCAGCACTTTTTGTCATAACAAAGAATGGGAAGCCAGGTGGGTGCCCGTCACTGGGAGCACTGATGGTGACATCAGAATGGAATGGAATTCCGTAAGCATTGCTAAACACAAATACAGCCGAGAAGGATGGCAAAACGTCTGCCCTGATGCAGGGGGAGTCAGAACCAGAGGAAGCAGACACGCATCTACCACGGTCTGAAAGCTATCAGAACTTGTCGTCGGTGGAGCCGCCGGTGGCGACTTCAGAAGACTCGCAGTGAAGCATGTCTCCTTGTTGGCGGAGAGGTGGTGAGATGTAGCTTTGAGTGAGGCACACCTTGTCAGACACGGACCATCTGGGTGCTTGTTTTCGCTTAGATGTGCTTTACAATGGAGGGCTCTTTGGGTGGGAGGGAAGAGCCATTAGGAAAGGACAGTGAGGCAATAAAAACAATGTACAATACCATAAAGAAAACTTTTTAAAGTTATCTTTTGTTAAATACTAGGGGGCTGGGAAGGTGGACGTGGTCACCAGCTGCTTCATTGCTTGATGTTTTGAGACATTAAAGACTCAGTCTCGCTTTTTGAACGTTCCTACAATACGTGTCAGCAGAGCTGCATGAGGCAATGCACTCAGAGCGCTGATACCTGACCTCAGGTAGCTGTGGGTGACCACTGAGCCTAAAGCCAGCAAAGCTGGAGCTCAAATCCAGCCTCAGACGCACTCCAGCGGTGTGCCCCTGGGCAAGTCACTTCACCTCTGTCTGTTTCAGTCTCCTGATCTGTAGGACGGGGATGATGTTGGCACCCGCCTCCCGTGTTTGTTGTGAGGGTCACGTGAGATGATGTTTGTAGAGTGCTTAGCACAGTGCCTTGCACACAGCAGGTGCTTAATAAATGCTTGTTTTCAAATAGTGCCCGAACTACAAGATTTTGGAAATATTTACTTGATGTAACTTTAGGTAGTTTCCTTTTAAAAATTCTACACTTAGTAAAAAAAAAATCAAATCAAAAATTCAGTTGCCCAGACAGAAATTTTAAGTAGCTTAATTGCAACTTAAACTGATAGTTACATTTTGCTCGGTAAAAAACATGTACATTAAGTTTAACCAGAGCATTAAAAAAAAAAAGGTCACGTTTGCTGCTGTTTACCATGATGAATTTTTTCTTCGTGTATTTTTCTGGATTTTATTTTTGCTGAATATTACATGTTGGGAAAATTTTCCCTTTCCCTCTCTCCCCCTGTACATTCATACACACATATGTACATATAGGTGATATGTTTACATATTTCCACAGGGATTGATTTGTATTCAGATAAGTGCATATATGATCGTTTGGGGGAAGGGGAGTTGGGAAAGGTTTCCCAGAAGATGATCCCCTAAGCTGAAGCTTGAAGGAAGCTAAGATTCTGAGTAGAGGCGTTCCAGACGGGAGGTGGCAGCCTGCGCAGCAGCTGCGAGCCATGCCGCATCAAGCCTTGGAACGAGCAGTAGGGCATTCTGTCTGTCTGGTCAAGTGCATGAAGGAGGAGTAATATTAAGAGTGGAGGAGGGGGGTAAGGCAGATTGGAAGGCTTTGCATGCCGGACTCTGCATTTGAGCCTAGATTCAGTAAAGAGTCAGTGAAGATGCTTAAGCATGGAAGTGGTGAGTCCTTTGTTTTAGGAATAGTTACCGACTAGGTGGCAGTTGGATTGAGAAGGCTGACAGGGAGGACAGAAGAAGCAGGGACAGCAGTTAGGTGACTTGTGCAATAGTCCAGGTGAGGGGACAGGAGGGCTTGACCTACGGTTGTCTGTCAGTGTAGAGACAAAGGGGTAGATGTAAGAGACATGGAGATAAGAGTTAAGATGGCAGATGGATAAGAAGAGGGAAGGAAAGAGGAATTGGATATGCCTTCAAGTTTCCCATGCTGGCTCATTGGAAGGGTTGGGGGTGGGGATGCTGGTGTCCTCAAAGTCATAGAGAAGTGTTGAGGAGGGTTAAGTTTAGAGAGAAGTAAAATGAGTTCTTTGGACATATTAGGTTTGAGATTCTGATGGGATATCTCGTCTAGATCCAGGAGGCTGCTGGGGCTAGGGAACTAGATGGAACAAATATGACCAGCAGGGAGTTGATGCCAAAGATAAGTAAGGAGACATACAGTAAGAGGACATCTGGCTGTCTATGATGAATTCAGGTCACTTGGTCCATGTGAAGTATGCAGTCACACCATTGCCACCACCTCCCCTCATAACCTTGATGGACAAAACTCAGGATTCTGAACCCTAGAACTTTGGGAATAGAAGTGCTGCCTAGATCATCACCCTGGCCCTTCCAGCCAGCATCCAGAGGGGCAATCTGGGAAGAAAGGACCCACTTATTCCCACCAACCCCCTACCTGAAGGGTACCCAAGCCAGCCAAACTTCAACAATGGGACTTCTTAGCTCAAATCCCACTCTCAGCAGCAGGCCTTTCCCAGTCCATCTTCTCTCTGATATGACCTTACGTCTGCTAGATAGATGGGTAGATAGATCAATTGATCTTGGCATGAACATAGTTCCCCAATTAGAATGTGAGCTCCTTGAGGGCAGGGACAATGTTTCTGCCCTCTCTGTAATCCTAGCCCTTAGTACAGTGCTTGGCATATGCTAAGCACTTAGTAAATGCTGATAATTTATTGACTGAGGGAAAAAACAGAGGCCATATGTGGCATGTAAGTCAAACCATCTCAGTCATTTCCCTTCAAACCCAGATGGGATGTCCCAAGATGCTGAGCCCAAGAGCCTCAGGAATAGCATCAAATCCCAGGTTACTAGTGCTACTTACAGCCCAGCGGCTGGGTCCCAGCCTCAATACTGATTTCTCCAGGGAGCTAACTTCTGGAGGAGCTGCGGCCTCGTTTGCTTCTCCTGCAGCCACAGCTGCTAAAGAAAAACCCAGAAAAGAAAGTTTTCATTACCAAAATGTTTAGCTCTGTCAAATGTTTCAGTGTCAGAAATGGATGTGGTTTTGTCAGTGGCGATAACATTTAAGTTTGTGCCTGCACTCTAAGGGTCGGAGGTATTTATTTACATCTGACTTTAGCTGAACCCTCCCACATGCGTTGGCTATCCTGATTACTATGTGAGCTCTGTGATGGTGGGGGCTATCTTGCTTTTTCTATTTGTGTTCCTAGCAATTAGCTCTCTAGCTCCCTCTTGTGTGTTCCTCCGCCGTTAGAATGTAAGTGTAAGGGCAAGGACTGTCTTGCTTTTTTTGTATCCTAGCACTTAGCCCAGTGCCTGGAACATGGTAAGCAATTACTATTTTTTATTCATTCATTTAATCAATAGCTGAGCCCCTGTCAGCAATATTTACAAGGTTACAAAGGAAACAGAATGCTACAAGATTAGAGATGAATAAATGTTTTCCTTTTCAAGAAAGAAGAGTATGGAGGCTGCAAACTAAGGCCAGTGAGGTTGACTTTGATTCCTGAAAAATTTCTAGAAGAGCTAGATCATTAAAGAGATACTTGTTTAATACCTAGAAAAAATGGAAATTCAAAAGGCCAGCCTAGCTTCATCAAGAACAAGTTGTTTCCCTTTTCAGCAGGATTACTGAATTAGTAGATGAGGTTAATA